TTGAGAGTTTCTAAGGTCTGACACTATATTGCCAACATCAAACTGAGAATTCATGAGGTGCATAGAATATGCACCTCCAAGAGACTGGGATCTCCCTGAGGGCAGGCGTCTCCCCCATCAGACCAAGAGTTCCCTCCATCAGACTGGGAGCTCCCAGGACAGTATGCCTTCTGCTCCTCGGACTAGCCCCACCCAGTGCCCAGTATAAAACGCTGCATGCTGAAAGAGCTCGGGACATCTGAATGTGTGTGAACCAGCTAACTAACGGCTGAGACCCCAGCACTTACTTGGAGCTGGCCCTTGAGTGGCCGAAGGAGAGGTCCTTATTGCAGGAGATAGGTGGAACGTAGACAGGATCCTGCTTGGATGTGCAGGAAGGAGGGTGCCCTGGGCACTTCTTCACAGGCTTCTGGCCGCTGCAGGTGCTGTAAAAGCTATAGCGATTCTGGGTGGTTTTGTAGTTCTTGGTGCTTGCGGAGCCCTTGCGCAGAGTCCCCCGGGGGTCGCAGTACAGGTCTGGCTCACTCCGACTGGCCTTGATGTTCTGCATGAAGCAGATGTCACTGCCAGGGCCAATGGTGTTACAGTTGCCTCGGTTGTACTGACGGTTCCAGTTCTCCATCTGACTGTAGGAGCTGAAGCGTCTATTATCTGTGTCTCTCTTGAGGGTCCCATTGTAGATCTGATCAAGGAAAGGGAGGAAAACCAGCAGGTTCAATTCCCGTTGCCCAAAGACACTCAGAATCAAACTCTGAAGTGTACTCAGCTCTTCATGTCCCACAGGCATGCTAACCTAAACCATGGTCTGCAGAGATCATCTACCAGAAAAAGTCAATCAGTCAATAAACATTTATTAAACACCTATTATGTACCAGACACTGTGCTAAATGCTGCAATAAGAATAGGTCACTGGGAAAATAGAATGAGTCTGGTAGGAACATAGAGAGATTTAGAGATCATTGCATTTCAGAGACAAGAAAACAAGCCCAGAGGGTCACAAAGCTGATAAATGGCAAAATCAGGATGAATTCAGTACCTCCAAATCCAGTTCCCTCTCCACCCAGTTTCTTCACATATTAAATAAAAGGGTTGGAATAGATCAGGGGTGGGGAACCTGAAGCCTTGAGGTCACATGTGGCCCTCTAGGTCCTCAAGTGCAGCCCTTTGACTGTCTTCAGTC